TTGTTGTTTGGTGGGTCCAGGCTGGGGATTCGAACCCACCACCTTAGGTGTACATGGCTGGCGCCTTAGCCGGTTGAGCTATAGGCGCCGAGCCATGTTTGCCGTTTTAAGCTGCTAAATGTTGGGGTAATGTGTTATACAGCAATATATAGCTAATACAACAATCTTGAGGTAGACAAAAGTTTCTTAAATAAAACACAAAAAGCATGAATAAAAAGAGAAGCAACAGATTGGACTTTATCAAAATCAAACACTTCTCTTCAAAACACATTTTTTTTTTGAGACAAGAGTTTCACTATCTTGCCCTCGGTAGAGTGCCATGGCGTCATAGCTCACAGCAACCTCCAACTCTTGGGCTTAAGTGATTCTCTTGCCTGAGCCTCCCAAGTACCTGGGACAACAGGCGCCTGCCACAATGCCCAGCTATTTTGTCTTGGTGGTAGTTGACCCAGGCTGGATTCAAACCCACCAGCTCCAGTGTATGTGGCTGGCGCCCTAGCCACTGAGCTACAGGCATGGAGCCACTTTCCTTTCTTTTTTTAAAATTTGACACAGAGTTGAGTGCCGTAGCGTCATAACTCACAGCAACCTCAAACTCTTGGGCTCAAGCTGTCCTCTTGCCTCAGCCTCCCAAGTAGCTGGGACTACAGGTGTGCGCCAAAACAACCACCTACTTTTTTCTATTTATGTAGATAGTCTCACTCTTTCTCAGGCTGGTCTTGAACTCCTGAGCTCAAGCAACCCACCTGTTTCTGCCTCCCAGAGTGCTAGGATTACAGATGTGAGCCACAGCACCTGGCCTCAAAATACATCATTAAAGAAAAAAAAGAAAAAGAATGAGCAGTTAAGTCACAGAATGAGAGAAAATATTCATAATACATATACACACATATGCATAATGTGACAAAGGACTTGTACACAGAATATGTCCTGTATAAACAATTCTTACAACCTCACTAATAAGACACACAACCTATCAAAAATGTTTAAAAGATTTGAATAGATATGTTGAAAAAGAAGATAAACAAACTCAAAATGAATGACTAAAATTAAAAGAGTGACAATACCAAGTGTTGGTGAAGGCATGGAACAATTAGAACCTTTGTACATTGCTGGTGGCTATGTATAATGAATGGTATAAACACTCTGGAAAACAGATTGGCAGTTTCTTATAAAAAAGCTTACATACTTATCAGAAGACCCAGAAATCCCACTCTAGGAGATTTACCCAAGAGAAACAAAAACATTCATAATAGCCTGATTGGTGACTACCCCAAACTAGAAACACCCAAATGTCCATCAACAGATAAATGGGGTTTTGTTTTGCTGTTGTTTGTTTTTGACACAGTCTCACATTGTTGCCCTGGGTAGAATGCTCTGGCATCATAGCTCACAGCAGCCTTAAGCTCTCGGACTTGAGCAATCCTCTTGCCTCAGCCTCCTGCATAGCTGGAACTACAGGTGCCCATTACAACCCCTGGCCAATTTTTCTATTTTTATTAGAGACAGGGTCTTGCTCTTGCTCAGGCTGGTCTTGAACTCATGAGCTCAAGCAATCCACCCGCCTCGGCCTCCCAGAGTGCTAGGATTACAGGCATGAGCCATCGCACCTGGCCAATCAACAGGTAAATGGATGAACAAATTGTGGTACATCCCTACAATGAAACAATACTCAGCAATAGAAAAGAATGAATTACTGATGCATGCTACAATACAAAAACATTTTACTGACCAAATGAAGCCAGGCAGGAAAGAGTATGTACCATAGGATTCCATGGATATGAAACCCTAGAAAATACCAATGTTATGATGACAAAGGTCAGATCAGTAGGACTGAGGGCAGATGTGGCAGGCCAACTGGAGAGGCCCTAGGAAACTTTTAGGGCAGTGGTTCTCAACCTTCCTAATGCCTCCTAATGCCGCAACCCTTTAATACAGTTCCTCATGTTGTGGTGACCCCCAACCATAAAATTATTTTTGTTGCTACTTCATAACTGTAATTTTGCTACTGTTATGAACCGTAATGTAAATATCTGATATGCAGTATATATTTTCATTGTTACCACGGGGTCACGACCCACAGGTTGTGAACCGCTGTTTTAGGGTTTCTTAGGGAAATGTTCTGTTGCAGTGATGATTATATTTGTTAAAATTCATAAAATATGTACTTTAACAATAAATACATTTTATTGCATTAAGTTATATATCAATGAAACACCAGGTATACTAAGTTGTTAGTCATGTATCAAATTATTTGAAAAACATAAAATTCCTGATTAATTTATTTCAGCAACACAAAAGTGATAGGACTGGGCTGGTTGAGGTAGCTCACGCCTATAATCCTAGCTCTCTGGGAGGCTGAGGTGGGTGCATTGCTTGAGTTCAGGAGTTCGAGACCAGCCTGAGGAGAGTGAGACTCCCATCTCTAAAAATAGCCAGGCATTGTGGTGGTCATCTGTAGTCCCTGCTACTTGGGAGGCTGAGGCAAGAGGATCACATGAGCCCAAGAGTTTGAGGTTGCTGTGAGCTATGATGCCAGAGGACTCTACCAAGGGCAACAAAGTGAGACAGAGTCTCACTTGAAAGTTCTCAAAAAAAAAAAAAGTGACAGCACTATGATCATTACAGTGTAAACCTGTCTGTCAGTTGTAATAAAACAAAGAAATCTTGGATTTTATTATTTACTTTCCTGATCCTCATTCCAACGCCAGTCATCAAATATTCAAAGAGCAACCATATAACATGCAAATCATATATAAAGAAAATAGAGTGGGCGGCACCTGTCGCTCAGTGGGTAGGGTGCCAGCCCCATATACGGAGGGTGGCAAGTTCAAACTGGCCCCAGCAAACTGCAACAATGAAAAAAATAGCCAGGCATTGTGGCGGGCGCCTGTAGTCCCAGCTGCTTGGAAGGCTGAGCCAAGAGAATTGCCTAAGCCCAGGAGTTGGAGGTTGCTATGAGCTGTGTGATGCCATGGCACTCTACCGAGGGCGATAAAGTAAGACAGAGTCTCACAAAATTTAAAAAATATAAATATAGTAAATTCAAAGGAAAATAAATTATTACATCAAAAAGATACCTGCACTTGTATATTTATTGCAGCACCGTTCCCCACAGCAAAGATAAGGAATCAACCTAAGTGTCCATCAACAGGTGATTGGATAAAGAAAATGTGGTAAAAAGAAAAAGAAAGAAAATGTGGTGGACAAACACACACACACACACACACACAACGGAATACTACTCAGCTATAAAAAGGAGTGAAACCACGTCTTTTACAACATGGATGGAACTAAAGGTCATTATCTTAAGTGAAACATCTTAAAAACAAAAAGGCAAATACTGTATGTTCTCACTTGTAAGTGGGAGCTAAATAATGTGCACACATTGGACATAGAGAATGGGATAATAGGCAGAAGGGGGGGAAGGATGATAAATAACTAACTGGGTACAAGGTACACTATTTGAGTGATGGCTACTCTCAAAGCCCAGACTTCTCCAGTACGGAATATTTCCATGCAACAAAACTGCATTTGTACCTCCTAAATCTATAATTTTTTAAAAAAGAAAATGTAATGAGTTTAATGAATGAATTATTTAATTCCCAACTTGTAGCTTTATCTTTATAACAATTTATCTGGTAAAGTCAAACACTTCAACTCTCAATTTCGAAGGTTTTCCTAATCTTGCACTGATGATTCTCCTCTGCAGGATTTCATCATTCATTCACCCTGTTTGGTAACAGGCGGCTGTAGGGTAAGACAAGTGAAGCTACTCCAAATTAAATTAGTGAAAAAAAAGACTTGAAAGCCTACGAAATAATTCACCAATCCTGATTAAGAAGAATAAATGTAGAATCAGAGAGGCCCTGGATAAGGAAAAGGCAAGGCCGGTAAATCAGAAAGTTGGGCACAGGGAAAGCACATGCAGGGACTTACCCGGTGCTGCAGCTCCTTGCTGGCCCACCACCGCTGTCTCCAGGGCTCCTGCGGCTATAACCTTCGGGCTGCAGGAGGCCTGCGACTGGCTCCAAGGTTCAGGCGCGGAGTTCCGAGTGGGGCGGACCTGTGCATATATACAGGCAGAGCCTTAACCAAACACTCTCAGGAGATATGCTGATCGGTGGGGTGGCTTCCGATCAGTTTTGCATGTGCTTTCCTAAACTAGAGACACCGGATCTCTGCTCAGCAAAGCCGGGTTGGGAGGAAGCCTCGGCCCCGCCTCCAGGGGAGGTGCTCCCGGAGCCCGCCCCTCCTCCCTCCGGGAGCTCAAGGCCTGCGGACTCAGAGGTACACCGCAGTGCCTGCTTCCCCGCAAACCTGCGACCTGCAGTACCTTCACTTTTCAGGGGAGGAACAAAAGAGCTCCCAGACTTTCAGGAGCCGCTCCGCGCTGGCACCACCATTTGGGATAAGGTTACGTGTACAAATAAGAAGGGACCTCTGCACTGATTTTGCAATTAATGAAGATCCCTTGAGGCCTTTTCTGAAATCCACATTGGGCATTCTGCTCACTTGTATAGGAATGTAGGTCTCAAAAGAACTTCAAAAACTGCATATAGTCCCAACTAAAATGCAGAAAACCATGAGTGACAAAATATGTCTTTGCTCCTTTTTCTTTCCATTTTTTTTTAAATTTTCTTCTAGGTATCATTCTCCGAGTTCTTTTTATGTTGATTACAACAACAAAAAAAGAGTGTTACCCCGAAACATTTACCTCCGTGCACAGCTGGCTGGAGGTGGGCATCGCAGTCCGCCCTAAAACACAGCCTGAAACCTCAGATGCTGACAGTGGGAGCTCCCTCTAAGCTGGTCGCCCAAGCACAAAAGATGCAATTGCTGGGGCGAGACACCTGGTCACAACATCCCTACCTTTAGGTATAGAATCCCCAAGAAATACAACTCCTGACACTCTTTGCTTAGATGTGCCTTTAAAGTTCAATATTCCCAATTTTATTAGTAAGCAAATGGTTACAGGTTGGCTTGGTGCCTGTAGCTCAGCGGCTAGGGCGCCAGCCACATACCCTGGAGCTGCTGGGTTCGAATCCAGCCCCAGCCTGCCAGACAACAATGACAACTACAACCAAAAAATAAAAATAGCTGGGTGGCCCCTCTGGCTCAGTGAGTAGGGCACCGGCCCCATATATCGGGGATGGCGGGTTCAAACCAAGCACTGGCCAAACTGCCGGGCGTTGTGGCAGGCACCTGTAGTCCCAGCTACTAGAGAGGCTGAGGCAAGAGAATCACCTAAACCCAAGAGCTTGAGGTTGCTGTGAGCTGTGACACCACAGCTCTCTACTGAGGGCGACAAAGTGAGACTCTGTCTCTAAGAAAAAAAAGGTTTGGCGCCTGTGGCTCAAGAGGCTAAGGCGCCAGCCACATACACCTGAGCAGGCGGGTTAGAAGCCTGGGCGGCCGAACAATGACAGCTGCAACCAAAAAATAGCCAGGCATTGTGGCGGGCGCCTGTAGTCCCAGCTACTTGGGAGGCGGATACAGGAGAATCTCTTGAGCCCAGAAGTTGGAGGTTGCTGTGAGCTGTGATGCCACAGCACTCTACCCAGGGCAACAGCTTGAGGCTCTGTCTCAAAAAAAAAAAAAAGAAAGAAAGAAAAAAATTATCCCAGTGTCTAAAGTAAAAAAAAAAAAATAATAATAATGGAATTAAGGGTGGTGCCTGTGCCTCAAAGGAGTAGGGCACCGGCCCCATATGCTGGAGGTGGTGGGTTCAAACACAGCCCTGGCCAAAAACTGAAAAAAAAAAAAATTAATGGAATTAAAAAGAAGCAGGAAAATGTAACCCAAAGTAAACTGCATTTGGTGACTCACACCTGTAGTCCTAGCACTCTGGAAAACTGAGACAGTAGGATTGCTTGAGCTCAGGAGTTTAAGAACAGTCTGAGCAAGAGACCTGTACTAAAAATTGAAAAATTAGCCCAGCATTATGCAGGGACCTGCAGTCCCAGCTACTGAGGAGGCTGAAGCAAGAGGATTGCTTGAGCCCAAGAGTTTGAGATTGCTGTGAGCTAGGCTAACTCCACAGGGTAACTGAGTGAGACTCTTCCTAAAAACAAAACAAAACAACTCTAAGATAACAGCAATATTATAATACTATAAAGGAATAAAGCTAAACATATCCAAGTACTTAAAGGAAAATATAATCATAATGATTGCCCATCTGAGCACTCACAGGGGAAAAAAGGAAAAAAAAATTTAAATGGGAAATCTTTAACACAATGGCACATGTTTAAAAAGGAAAAAGGTCAGGTGTGGTCAGGAATTACTCCTGTAATTCTAGTACTCTGGGAGGCCAAGGTGGGTGGATTGCCCTGAGCTCAGAGGTTTGAGACCAGCCTGAGCCAGAGTTAGACCTTCCCATCTCTACCAAAAGAAAAAAAGCTGGGTGTTGTGGCAGGCACCTGTAGTCCCAGCTACTTAGGAGGCTGAAGCAAGAGAATTGCTTAAGCCCAAGATTTGGAGGTTGCTGTGAGCTATGATGCCACGGCCCCCTACCAAGCACCCAAAGTGAAACTCTGTCTCAATAAAAAAATAAATAAAAGAAAAATTTTAAAAAAACCTTCAAACTAAGATGATTAAATGCCAACTGAAAGCAAAATTCAAAAAAAAAAAAGAAAAGAAAAGAAAAAGGAAAAAAGAATGTTAAAATAAAATGGGAAATCCAAATCTGAAAAATAGTGTTATCTAAAATGAAAATTTACTGAATGATCTTAACAGAATATGAGAAATTACAAAAAAAGATCAGTGAACTTGAAGACAGATAAAGACCAATGAGAAAAACAGAAAAAGAACAAAATCAACCCAAACCATGCAGAAGGAAAGAAATAATAGATATTAGTGCAAATATCAATGAGACTAAAAATAAAAAGAAGGAAATTTTCTGTTTTTTTATAGCCAAATTTACAGTTGGGGATTGAATACCAACTTTAGTGACACTAATTTTTTTTTTTTGAGACAGAGTCTCACTATGTTGCCGTCAGTAGATTGCCGTGGCATCACATCTCACAGCAACCTCAAACTCTTGGGCTCAGGTGGTCTTCTTGCCTCAGCCTCCCAAGTAGCTGGGACTACAGGCACCCACTGCAGTCTTCAGCTATTTTTTTTTTTTTATAGACACCAGGGTCTTGCTCTTGCTTAGGCTGGTCGGAACTCCTGAGCTCTAGCAACCCACCTGCCTCGGCCTCCCAGAGTGTTGGGATTATAGGTGTGAGCCACCGTGCCCAGCCTAAACACTTTTTTTCGTTTACGGAAAAATAGTAAGTTATACAGGAAAGGAAAAATAATCATAAATTACTATATATGCCAACATGAATAGTAATTTCACAGTTATAATAACATAAATACTGGATACTGACCTAACCAAAATGATGCTATGACATCACTGCATTCAGAGTATGGAAGAGGAGGCTCAAACATAGTGGAAAGGAGGGGAGAAAGAAAATCCACTAAATCATTATCTTCCACAGTAAAATGGACAATGTCATACCTAAAACTGAAAGCCAAGTGGCAATACACATAGAGATCCACATCAAGATCTGGAGGAAAATACCAAAATAATTAGCTAGCAAATGTAAACATAGTTGCCTGTGAGAAGGAAATAAAGGAGAAAAGGGCAAGTCATTTGTGATAACAAATCTTGTATAGTCATGTGCCATATCATGACATTTTAGTCAATGACAGACTGCACATACTATGGTGGTCTCATAAGATTATAATACCATAGATCTAAAAATTTTTTTCTCTGTGTTCCACAGTAATCACTCTGAGGTCTATGATACAATTCATCGGCAGAGAATCCAAATACTGTGGTCCCCCTAGTAACCATCCATCCAGAAGAGGGTATCCTAGGGTCTCGTTCCTTGCCTGCTAGATGACATCCTTTGTTTGTGGCTCTGTAATTCACTGGCCTACCTCGTCCATACCTATGCACTGGACAGTGGGGTTTCCACCATGAATGAAATGAAGAGTTATTCCCAAGCTGTCACAGGATTTTTTTTTTTTTTTTGAGACGGAGCCTCAAGCTATCCCCCTGGGTAGAGTGCCATGGCATCACGCTCACAGCAACCTCCAACTCCTGGGCTCAAGCCAGTCTCCTGCCTCAGCCTCCCAAGTAGCTGGGACTACAGGCGCCCGCCACAGCGCCGGCCATTTTTGGGTTGCAGCCATCATTGTTGTTTGGCGGGCCCGGGCTGGGGATTCGAACCCACCACCTTAGGTGTATGTGGCTGGCGCCTTAGCCGCTTGAGCCACAGGTGCGGAGCCAGGATTTTTTGCCAGTATGTTAATCTATCCCTTTGTGCTTGTGCTAATCTTATGGCTGTGAACAAATGTGGGCTTGCTGGTTACTTACCTTACTCCCCAACATATACTTCTGGGCTAGATTGCTGGTGCATGCTACAAAAGGAGGGAAATATGAGCCAAGGAAATAGTTCGTTTTTCCAGAAGGTCCCCTTTGGGAAGACTTATTGTTGTGACCTGAGAATGTTAATTTGAAGATGTGGGGTAGGGGCAGTGACATTTCTATAGTCTCAGACGCACAGAATTATGGGAGAGAATGTTGATTTCTATACACTGTGGCACACTTTTTAAATCATCATTTAATCTTGGGAAAATGGGGGGAAAAGAAGAATGAAGCACACAAATCATTTTACCACAAGGACATTTGCACTAGAATGTTTACTGCAGCCCAATTAACAATTGCCAAGATGTGCAATCAACCCAAGTGTCCATCAACCCATGAATGGAATAACAAACTATGGTATATGTGTACCAGGGAGTACTATTCAGTCATAAGAAAAGATGGAAGGCTGGGCATAGTGGCTCACACTTTGCATCTTCAAAATTCAAGAAAAAAAAAATAACAAGTAAAGGCATGAACAGGCAAGTCATAGATGATGAAATGGAAACAGCCAATAAATACATGAAAAAGTCCACATAGCAGTTAGGAAAAAGCAATTCAAATTCAAACAAAATAGCATACTAAATTCCACATAAGAGGCTCAGTGCCTGTAGCTCAAGTGGCTAAGGTGCCAGCTACATACACCAGAACTGGTGTGTTCGAATCCAGTGTGGGCCCGCCAAACAACAATGACAACTACAACCAAAAAATAGCTCGGCGTTCTGGCAAGTGCTTGTGGTCCC